TCAGTCTGGGCTATATAGCAAGATACTATCTCAGAAAGGAGAACAAAAAGAAAGAAAACAGAAAGATAGAAAAATCAAGGCTTGCTGCCTTGGGTTTCTGGATGGAGGATTATACTACTGAGACAGGGCATACTGTGTGAGGAACAGTTTGAGGATGGAAAAAAGTGGGCAGAGACTTCAGCTTTGTGTGTGTTGAGTTTGGGGTGCCATTAATATATTAATACATTTGTGGGTGGCCATTCCAAATGCAGCTGTCTAGACAAAGCTTGAATTCAAAAGCAAGATCTATGGGAGAGGTATGAATTTAACAGCCATTGTCAAGCTAAGGCAAGATAATTTACTGGGAGTCTGAAGTCAGCCTGGGCTATGTAGTGAGTATCAAAGCCAGCTACAGCACCATTTAGAAGTCCTGTCTTTAAAAAGAGAGGAAGAAGACTGGCGGCACTGGAAGCACTATAGGAAACAAGGGAGATGTCAGAAGGCGAGAGGCAAGGGAAGATGGCAGATAGACGAATGTTAGACGTTAGAATCAGGAAATGATTAACTTTGTTGAGAGCACTCTCGGTGGAGAGCAAACGGCAGAAGCAAGGCGACAGCAGAGAAGTGTGTGCAAAGGTCAATTGGTGGCAGTGATATTCATGGGGTTAAGAAGGCCGGCTGAAAGAGAAAGGTCAAGATTGACAGTAATAGCTGCATAATAAAGGGGCAGTAGTGGGGAAGGGTGCTTTTAAAAGTGTTGAAAATGTGAACTATTCACCGGGAAGATGCTTACGTCGGAGCCTTGCTGAGATGTGCCTCTGAGACCTGGATAGGCACTGTTGTGACTAGAGGAGCAAAAGAAAACCAGTGCCAGGAAAGGACTAGCCCCTTGTCGTAGCTGTGCATGGCAAAGTTTGCTACATGGGCGCTGGCACCTGCCTTGCTTTGCACAGACACCGCTATCACAGCAGCGCTGATGGACAGGGCTACCAAGGCTGTGTCTTCCGCTGCGAAAGCATGTCACAAGTCTAGCATGCTTTTCCCCTTCAACTGAACAGGCAAGATAGTCAACAAATGAAGGGAGGGAGGGAGGAAAAGACAGAGGAGCGCCACTGTATTTCTCCATCTTGTCCTCCTCTAGGTATCCCGTCTTCTTCAGATCCCCTTCATTCTCTCGCGGGCAACATCTTGGTAATCCTTTCTCTGCAATGTTCACGGACTCATTATAGTCTCCCGGGGCCCTTGAAACCTGCTTACTGTTTTTATTCTTTCATTAAGCGGCTAGGCGAGCTGGTGCAAACTTGTAATCCCAGCATTTAGGAGATAAAGGTAGGAGCCCAAGGGCAACCTGGATTACATAGCAAGTACCAGACCGGTAGGGTCACAGAGAAAGACCCAGTCTCTGTTTTTTCCCCCCAAAAGCATGTTTAAACAGTTATTTAGGGTTAAGGCACTGTGTAAGGCGTATGAAGTACAGACATAAATAAGAGACCATTGCTACCATCAAGTACCTCCCATACAAGCAGAGAAAAATGAATTTAAGCAGGAAATTACAATATAACACAAGTATGTCATGACCTTAGTTTTCTTGCCTATTATGCAGTAGAGAGTATTCGTGTATCTATCATGAAATGGTTAATAATTAATCAACACATAAAGTGCTTATAATAGTCTCATGAGAAACACTATATATCCTGGCACAATGGTGCATGCCTGTATTCCTATCACTTGGATGGCTGAGGTAAGAAGACCACATGTTTGAGGCTAGTTCGGGCTACACAGTGGGTTCCAGGCAGGTCTGGCCTAAATAGTGAAATGCTGTCTCAAAACAAAACAAAAACTAACGAAAAGGAAGCAATAAGTAGTATGTGCGTTGTTGTAATTACTGCCGTTATGGTGATGATGGAAGTACATGAATATAAGGTACTAAAATAATATAAAAGAGAGTCCTGGAGAGATGCTTCAGTGGTGAATGGCATTGAATGTTCTTCCAGAGGACCCAGGTTCAAATCTCAGCACCTACACATTGGCTTATAACCATCTATAACCCTAGTTCCAGGGAATCCAATGCCCTCTTTTGGTACCCTGCACATATGGGCACACAGACATTTCACAAGGCAAGACATTTACATACATAAAAAAAATCTTCAGAGAAAATATAGAAGAGGGGCACTGGACCATGTCTAGAATGAAAGAGATCCAAGCCAAGTCCTCAAGACATTCCTTACAGTACAGCCTGTGCTCAGACGTGGGAGCAAAACACCACATGGCATGACGGAAGTGCGGAGAGCAATTTAGCTCAGCCACAGTGTGGAGTATGAGCGGGTGAATAGCAAGAGGACAATCCTGGGGCTCATGGAGTGCAAACAAATTTGGATTTTTTTTCCCTTTGGGCAATAGTGGGTCACTGGAATGTCTTAAGAGTAGTGACTTGTTGTGAAAGCATGAAGACTCGAGTTCAGAGAAATGTAAAAAAATCTGGATGTGGAGGTGTGTTCACTCAGAGTGGGAGAGGAGGAGGAAGATTGCAAGGCTTCACTTGCCAGCCAAAACAACAAGCTCCAGGTTCAGCGAGAAGAACAGCTCAAAAAAAAAAAAATTAAAAAAAGGCAGAGGGTGAGGATGTAGCTCAGTGGGTAAAGGCACTTGCGGCCAAGTCTAACAGCTTGCATTTGATACCGTAACTCACATGGTGGAAGAAGAGAACCAACGCCCCACAAGTTGTCCTCTGACCTCCACATGCATGCACATGTATGCATAGATGCATGATAAAATAAATTACCAAAAACTCAAAACATGCTGGGCCGTGGTGGTGCACGCCCTTAATCCCAGCACTCGGGAAGCAGAGGTAGGTGAATCGCTGTGAGTTCAAGGCCAGCCTGGTCTACAAGAGCAAGTTCCAGGACAGACAAGGATACACAGAGAAACCCTGTCTCGAAAAAACTGAAAAGAAAAAAATCAAAACATAAGATGGAGAAAAATCAAGAAAATACCTGAAGTCAATGTCTAGTCTCCATCGGTCTATGCGTCAAGTGGCATCCCTCTTCCCACCCTGTGAATATTTATTTGTGTGTGTGTCCACACACCTACATGTCGGCACATGTAGACACACACTCAAATGACTTCTTCAGATTAATGTGCTGAAAGATCACCATGGCAACCATATGGAGACTAAATCGGAAGAGAGGGCTGCAAGTAAGAGCAACCACAAAACTACTGTTTCCCGAGGCGAGGAAGGTAGAATGCTGAAGTCCTGCACTAGAAAGCACTGGTGGGGATGAGAAGCGAGAGTCACACATTCCAAGTAGCTCAGAAGACAGAACTAGCAGAGCTTCATAGTTGTGCAAGGGTAAACAGGAGCAGGGTGTCAAGGTTCACTCCTAGGATACTGGTCTGGATGGGGAGGGTTACCATTTGGTAACAATATGAAACCCAGGCAAGAACTGATCAGGAGGTACGGGGTGGGGGTGCTGTGTTCTTTTGAAGATGTCAAATGAGGTTGTCAGGAGATTTTCCATGCTCCCACTGAGCTAAATCCCAATCCTCCCGGAATTTTTTTATTAGAAGATCCCTTTGCCTGTGCTGACTATTGGAAGAGTTTCCACAGAAAATTCAGATTTGGATAGGGAAGAGATTAGGTAACCGAGTAGATGTGCTTGCTTATTTCTAGAGTTTTAATTCAGGAAAGAATGGATCCCTGAGCAACGGGAGAGATTTTAAAACATTTGCTTGTTCTAGTTTATATGTATGTGTGTGTGTGTGTGTGTGTGTGTGTGTGTGTGTGTGTGTGTGTGTGTGTCTGTGCTTTGCCTGTATGTAGTCTATGTGTCACGTGTGTGCCAGCACCTGCAGGCCAGAAAAGCGAATCGGACCTAGAGCTGGAGTTACAGACAGTTATGAGCCCCCACGTAGATGCTGGGAATTGAACCTAGGTCCTCTGGAAGAGCTACTAGTGCTCTTAACCACTGAGCTACTTCTCTAGCCCCGACCCCCAGATTTTTGGAGGAAGGTGGAGATGGAGTAGCAATGCTGTATTGGGTTGAAAAATCAGTGGGCTGAACAGTCTTGCAGAAGGTGGGGGGAGGTGTGTGACCTTTGTACCTTGAGCCTTGGACAAGAGTGAGAAAGCTGCTAATGCTGCAAAATCCCATCTGTCACTGAATGCCCGCTTACTACCTCTTGTGAAGCCCACTAACCCGGGAGCAGTTTTTTTTCCCTCCTCTTTTTCTGCTGTCTCTGACAAACCAGGGACTTGGAGGACTCCTAGGACCTGGAACAGCTTTTCTCTAGAGACCTCCCATGTCATTTGAGAGGATGGCCATGGGATCATCTGTTCGGAGTGGAGACAGGAAATAGCCAGTGTCCTATACCTTTGGGGACCCTTATCCTACCTTGCAGGGAGGGATAGATCTGGACAAGGCTAGAAAGACCTGATCGCTCAGAGAATGGACAGGAAGCTTTGCTGCTCACCCTGATCTGCCCTGGAAGTACATTATTGCCTTAGGCAAAATGATTCTGGGCTAAGCCAGTACCCTTTTTAGTCCCTTGGCTATTAGCAGCTGCTAGCAGGCTGGAGTCCAAAGCCACATTCTAAGACTTGTTCCACACGATCCAGTCTCCTGGAGTTTGGCCTCAGACTGCATTTGAGGGGCCCTGTGGTGCAGTTGCTTGGCAATATGTTAAATAGCAGGCCTTGGAGACTAGCAGTGGCATTAACACAGCACAAGTGCTCTTGCCATCACTACCTTCTTGGAAAGCAGCCACCTGTCTGGCCCCTGCCTTTGTTTGACTGCCAACGTAAAGCATGTGCCTACGCAGGAGGTGATGACATTTTGGCTCTACCTCCAAAGTTTTTTTTTTTCCTTTCTCATGTGTTATTTTTAAAGATAACAAAGGTCAAAAGGCATCCAGCGTTTTCTGGTTTCTCATAAGCTTCTGGTCAATATTTAATCTGGTTTATGGTGGTTTTTTTTTTTAAGGTTTTCTAGATGCCTTCTTGAGCCTGCTTGTGGCCACCCACAGACACTTGTAAGAAGGAAAGAAGTCAGCTTGCCAGAGACACTGTGAAATGAGGGATTAGAGTCCGGGACCCAAGAAACAAGAGCAGCAGACAAAAGACGAGCGAACGGGCTCCGAAGAGACTTATATTGAGAGGTCTGCCATGGCCTCCCTTGGCGTCCAACTGGTGGGTTACATCCTAGGCCTTTTGGGTCTCTTAGGCACATCGATTGCCATGCTGCTTCCCAACTGGCGAACAAGTTCTTATGTTGGTGCCAGCATTGTGACAGCCGTTGGCTTTTCCAAGGGCCTCTGGATGGAGTGTGCTACGCACAGTACGGGCATCACCCAGTGTGATATCTACAGTACTCTTCTAGGACTTCCTGCAGACATCCAGGCTGCCCAGGCCATGATGGTGACATCCAGTGCTATGTCCTCACTGGCTTGCATTATCTCTGTGGTGGGCATGAGATGCACAGTGTTCTGCCAGGAATCTCGAGCTAAGGACAGAGTGGCTGTTGTGGGTGGAGTTTTCTTCATCCTCGGCGGCATCCTGGGTTTTATCCCAGTTGCCTGGAATCTTCACAGCATCCTTCGGGACTTCTACTCACCACTGGTTCCTGATAGCATGAAATTCGAGATTGGAGAGGCTCTTTACTTGGGCATTATTTCAGCCCTGTTCTCCCTGGTGGCTGGAGTCATCCTCTGCTTTTCCTGCTCTTCTCAGGGGAATCGTACCAACTACTATGATGGCTACCAGGCCCAGCCTCTTGCTACTAGGAGCTCTCCAAGGCCTAGCCAACAGCCCAAAGCCAAGAGTGAGTTCAACTCCTACAGCTTGACTGGGTATGTGTGAAGAACCAGGGGCCAGAGCTAGGGGTGGGCTGGGGTGGGGTCTGGGACTGCAAAAACAAATAGTGGACAATGTCCCGAGGGTCGCAGGCAAGGGATATTGCCACTGAATCGTGTGTAAGGTGCTGCTGAGGATAGATCAACTTTGGCTATTGGATGGAGTGAAGGCAGAGACGGGGACTGGTGTGACAGTGTGGAGATGGAATTGCCAAGGACACTCACCAAGCCAGCCTTTCTAGTTCCCTTACCTTGCCTCACTAAGGCACCTCTGTACCTTGAATGCTCAATCTAGAACCACTTTTGGCTAAACCCAGAGATGCCTTCTGATCTTTGGTTTACCTGGAAATCTATGCCCCTAACCCACTAATCATAACCCACTGATTGAACGTCTGTGATCAGAAGACCTTCTGCCTCTGGCTAATGTTGGCTCTTAACTCAATCGCTGGGGGACAGAGAGAAGAAAAAGTGGTGGCTTCTGTGAGCATGGCTCTAGCTCCCTTCTCAAACCTCCATCCCAAGAAATAGACTGATCAGAAGCAGGCCCTGAGGCCTCTCTCCCACTTTTGTTATGAATGTAACCGCGTCCAGACCGGGCTGTGAATGAACTGAAGGAAAGCTATCTAATGGCATCCAGCAGAAAGCAAGCGGGTGCAGGATGGGAGGCCGCCTGGGACCACCAAACAATCAGAATCACTTCCTGCAAGAAAGCACAAGGCTGCAGCACTCTGACTCCACGGAGGCATGGTCAAGAAGCTGCAGTTAACAACTACCACCCGAGCCACCTGCCGCCCTCTGGGGTGTCTGGTCTAACCTCCTGGCTAAGACACAAGACTTGGAGCCCCAGACAAAGGTTTCCTTGGGGACAGTAAACCAGTTTTTCTAGAACTAGATACTACGCCTTAACCCTGGCCAAGAAAGAATAAGGACTTCGGTATCTAAGAAGCTGGGTGGACATTGATAGTGGCTGTTGTATGTGCTCCTACTGTTTCATAGAGGAAGCCCTATCAGAAACTTCAGACTTAACGGAAAAGGAACCCTTCGTTCGGGTCTATACCCAGAGCACTACAGAGCCTTTGAAAGACCATAGCGCCAGATAAGTTGTTGGTCACTTTTAATATTCATGTCGTCACCCATCAGAAGGTATTTTGGCAGGTATGCAAGGTCTCCAGGGTGGACATCTATGACCTGAGTGATAGGTGAACTGCCGTCTGGGATTGTGCTTGAGGTGGGGGGACAGAGCATGCTTCTCAGCTGAACTGTTTCGCTTTCAAGGTCTTAAAAAAGCTCCATTTCCCCTGTGATAGGTGAGGACCAGAAACAGACTTTTCCCCCACCAGCCTATTATCACCAGCTTCAGAAGATGCCCAGCACACCTCGTCCAAACCTCAGTGCCAGCCAGGGAGGCCCGTCTATGAGGTTTCCTCCACCATGTCTTTCTTTTTTCTACCGTGTTACCTATGTTCAAGCTGTTTTACTGACCTGGAAGCCATTTCCTCTTCACATCCCCATGCTTGGAGAACTTGCTCGGCATCATTTCCTTCAATGAGCCTTCTCGGACCACTCCTTCCTGCTCGTACGGCTCCCTCCTCAAATTCCCCAATATATAAATCACTTATTAGTCATAATTTTGATTGATAACTAGATAGTCCTCGAATGTGCACGTGTGTGTGTGTTTGTGTGTGTGTGTGTGTGTGTGTGTGTGTGTGTGTGTGTGTGTGTGTGTGTGTCTGTCTGTCTGATATCAAAAGTTCACTGTAAGTACTCGAGGGCCGTTGTTATATCTTCGACCTGTCTGTATGTATACCCAAGAGTGTCACAGTGCTGGGCACACACAAGATGATCAATAAATGCTTGTTGATTGAGCAATTGTTTTATTGACTAAAAAGGGTTAAGACAGGGCGCATGTGGTGGAAAGGAATTGGGTTAGGAGGGGCAGGTGGGGGGCTGTTTCTCTGTGCACAAGGGTGCACAGAAAATTCTAGATTTTGAGAATACAACCAGACTAGATGACAAGACTCCCAAAAAAGAAATGAAGTCTTCATCTTGCCCAGGCCTTGTTCTTTCTCAAAAACTTAATTGGAGTTGGTTATTAAATGGTCATGTGCCTATTTCCTCTCATTCTCCAACCGACGAACATGAGGAAGCTGAACCTGACCTGATTACCTCCATTTGCCATATAGGAAAATGAAGACCCAAACAAGTAAAGGTTTCCCCAGGGCTACATAGCTGGAGTTAGTGGCCTAGTCTCTTGACTCTGAAAATAGGACCCTGCTGATCCAACAATTTTCACAGCCAATAAGAACAGCCTTCCAGAAATTCCCATGTAGTTTAAAGAAATTTACTTAGGGCCTGCAAAGGAGCAATGAGACTTGCAGGCTCCCCTGTTCACCCAGGAAGGTGATCTTGGGAAGTGGGAATTCATAAAGCATTACTGCTTGCTGCTCCTACCATGCTAGCTGTCTCAGCAGGGGGTGCCAGGTTGTCATCTAAGATCCAGTATCTCAGTTCTAAATCCTCTAACTCTGGGGAAGTTAGGGATTCCAATGATTTGACTTTATAAGGCAACAACAAAGCCCATGAAGAAGGGATACAACACTAAAAGTAGTGGGGCCCTATGAGTACGGCTTTGCCAGTCCTTGAACTTAGTAGTGGGCATCCGCATATAGCAGCTGGTTATTACAAATGCCAGCCTTGCACGACTGAAGTGGACCCTCTTTGGTGCACAGGATTGAAGACAGCATCCAAGTCCATTTAGAAGGAAGGTCAGGGTAAAGGAGGACCCGCTGCATGGTAAGAAGTCATCTCTTGTCTGGTACCAGAATTCCCTGTGCTTGACTTGGGACAAATGGAGGCTGAAAGATGGGTTAGCTTTGACGACTCTTCCTTGATGGCTCCTGAGTATGGCTGGCTCTGATTACCCACCATGTGACAATCAAGGCATTTTCATCCTCTCAAACACCTCAGGGCAGTAGGTTTTTCACAGGAGATGAAATGGAGGACCAAGGAGGTGAATAAAGCCTCTGAGTTTCCAGGGTCAGAATCTGGATAGAAGCTTGGCAACTATTCCCATGGTAACATGGATCTGTGATTCTAATCCAAGAAGCTATGTGAGGGTATTGTTCTTCACATTTGAAGACTCCTGCTCTCTGGTTGCCATGGCCTACAAGAGTTCATGAGGGAAGTGAGCCAACTACTTGCCCTTTGTTTAGGATGTCCTGGTGTCTCCCATAGGCTTTCTTTTCTTCTTTTTTCTTTTCCTTCCTTCCTTTCTTCCTTCCTTCCTTCCTTCCTTCCTTCCTTCCTTCCTTCCTTCCTTCCTCCCTCCCTCCCTCCCTCCCTCCCTTCCTCCCTCCCTCCCTTCCTTCCTTTTCTTTCTTTCTTTCTTCTTTCCTTTCTTTTGCTCTTTCTTTCCAAGACAGTGTTTCTCCATAGCTTTGCTTGTCCTGGAACTTGCTCTGTAGACCAGGCTGGCCTCGAATTCACAGAGATCCACCTGTCTCTGCCTCCTGAGTGCTGGGATTAATGGGGTGCACCACCACTGCCCAGCCCTACAGCCTTTTTAAATCAAGAAAGTTTAAATGGGAGGAATTAAAAGTTCATCCTCGGCTAGGAAAATCACAGCCCACCTGGGAAAAAGCCATGGGTCCCTTTGGTTGGTTGAGCAAGGAAAGTCTTGCTCTGAATGGCTTCCTAGAAATGTCCTGAGTCCTGGTCCAAACTGAACAGTTTCCAGCTCCTTCATTGCCCTGCCATCCATCATAAAGTAATTTAGATTAACCATAGGCTGAGGGCATAGTAAAGGCCATTGTGTTAATGCCCCCGCCTCATGGCTCTGGACCTTGTACAAAGAGAGATGTTTTTGGCCTCTTTCTTTCCTCTGATACTAGAATGACTCATGTTTTCCCCTCTTTGGGCCCTAGTGACCCATTCTTGTGTGATCATTAATGGAGGTGGGGAGACCGAAACTGCCTTCTTAGTGGAAAGGCAAGTCCCATTCTAAGCCCTTAATCCAGTCAAAGACTCATTCAAAACTGTCCAGCCTCTGAGCCAGCCAGTCAGCCAGGCCACACTGCCTGAACTTGTATTCCGTGTAAAATGTGCCAAGTCAGGGCTCTGAGGGCGACAGGAATGAACGGTGGAGGAAGTCGACAGGCAGCTTAGGTGGGAAGAGAAGTCATGCACACATAACTTTAGTACAAAGCAGAACAGACTGTCCCCGACGAGATGGGGGGGGGGGTGCCTAAGATCACAGGTGTCAGGAACAAATATTTATGTAAATCCTCTTCAATCCCAAGCCATTTGAAATAAGGATCCAACACTATTTGAGCCTGGGAAGGTTGAAGGATGATTGAATAACCAAGCCTATTTCTTCCAGCTGAAAGTTCTACGGGAGCTTGGGAAAGAGAATGAAGAGCCATGCTGAGGAGGAAATAGGGCTTCGCTGCATTGGTAAGCCATTAACCTCCAGAGTTGTTCTCACCAGACCCTCTGCAGGGCTCCAAGAGAAGGAGTGACCCTGGGGCTCACGGGGCTCCACCTGCCCTCCACTCTCTCCTTCCTTTAGGTAGTTCTTCGGAGATTTCTGGGACAGCAGCAGAGTAAATCCAGGTATCCTGGGCCCTCTTGTCTCTAGGGTATAAACGCAGTGTTGGAGGAGTGGTATGGGTCTTACATAGGAGGGGTAAATGAGGCTTTGCAGGACCAATTGCTTCCTCTCTCCGGATGAGCTGAGGATCTTTTTATGCCTGTAATGGATGCCTGCCCTGACCACAGAGGCCAGACTGTAAAGTGTGTATCTTTCTCCTCAGCTGGCTGAAGCCTGGCCCTCGCCGAGCCTGGTCCCTCCAAGCGGCTCCCTGGCTTTGAGGAGACCTAGTGTTATCTCAAGAAGGAAAGGAACTTCAAACAGGAAGTCCAGCGGGTTATCTCTCTCTTCTGCCCTGAGTGGTAGTTCATTTAGTTGTGGTGTGATTGCTGATAAAGGATTAGCAGGTGGCTATCAGGTACACTGCTAGGGAGACCCTGATCTGACCACGCCCGCTTCCTCCCACAGCTGACCACACTTCTGGGAACCCAGACTCTCTCTCACCATTTTCTGTTGCAAGAGTCAATGCCCTAGATGACAAGCAGGGCTTTGACAAAGCAGGAAACATGGTACAAAGGCACATTCTCCCGTCCTTTTGAGGAGAGAGTTGCTGCTTTTTTTTTTTTGTTACCCCTGAAGTCCCGTTTCTTCACAATGACCCTCTTGTCACTTCACAAGCCACCCAGGAGGGCTTTGAAGAAGTCCACACACACTCATGATCTTGCAGAGAGAGAACACTAAGAGCATTTGTATACTTACTAGACCTGGATGGAGGTGGGGGTTCCTTGGACTTTCCGCAGGACAGGGAACCCTGACTGCTTTTCGGGCTGAGGGGGGGGGGGGGGACTTAATTGGGGGAGGGGGAGGGAATTGGGAGGCGGTGGCGGGGAAGAGACAGAAATCTTTAATAAATAAATAAATTAAATTAAAAAAAAAGAGTGTGTGGGGGGGGGGAGGAGGAAAGTGGGAGATGGGGAGGAGTGGAAATTTTCAATAAAAACATAAATTTTTAAAAAAAGAGCGCAGAGGTAGCAAGGTGTCACATTACATGGCAAATGAGTGGCCTGGCAAGCACACCATTTATTCGCACTTACCACTCTGAGATGCCTAAAACACTCCAGCAAGAGCCGCTGGAGACAAAGGGCAGCAGTACAGAGAGAAAAGGCTCCTTGTAACTTTGCCTGAGTTTGCTTGGGGGAATGGGATGAAAGAAGATGGAGTAGCAGCTCCCACAAAAGACTAGCTGATGACACTGTGAACACCCCAGTCCCCTCATTTAAAGGCACCGAAGAGCTTGGTTTAAAGATCAAGTACCTTTTCTGGGAAGAGAAACACATTCAGCCACAGATCAGCCATTGACAACAGACACTGCACTCGTTTTTCGGTTTGGTCCTGAAAGGAGCCAGGAGAGTCCACTTAAAAACAAAACAGAACTCCAACAGTAACGGGGAAACACTGGGGAGCAGGAGCCTTTTTTTTTTTTTTTTTGAACAATGCACACATCCTTGAAATAGATGAACCAGCAGCTTCAGAGGTGAGAATAGCAGAGAAATAAGAAAAAGGCAGACAGGGTAAGCAAGGGGGTGCTCTCCTGCCGTTGGCATTCCAGGACATCGCACGTGGTTAATTTTACTCTTCTTTGTGTAATAATAAACCAGTATGTTCTCAAGTGTCACTTTTTCACTCCCGAGACATGCCCAACTCAGCACAGTCTGGGAAGGGGGGTTCAAAGAAGCCAGAGAGCACACTCCAGGCAGAGGCCAACAAGTCCAAGACCTCCCGGAGTGTAGGAATAGGATCCCAATGACTGTTTTGATATCAGGAAAGCTGCCAAGGAACAGTCTGAGTGAAAAACCCAGTCAAGAGGAAATGAATTTCCAGGTTGTTAGGAGAGATATTCGTTACACAAGCGAGCGATTTCCGATCATGAGGGCAGTTAAACATTGTGTGTGATTTGGGACCACTCCTATCAGTGTGGGCTGCCTTTAGCCTTTCTTACTGAAGGGAGAAAGACTAGACTGGTTATGTGGAGCAACTGTCAAATAGCTAGGCTTCTGGAGTCAGGCAAACCTCGAGTTAGATTTTTTTTTCTTAACATTTTGAGAAAAACATGTCAATCCTCTACATTGGTTTTCTTGTCTGTAAAATAGAACAACCCCACACTTTAGCACAGTCTTGGCATACAGTAAATTCAAAATGGTTAACTGATATCTAAACAGAAATGGGGACCTAAAAGCTGTATCTGTATTGGTGTTCCTAGGGGGAGACACACACACACACA